GCATGGCGCAGCTCACCTCCCTCCTCACCGGCCGAGCTCAGGAGTGGGCCGCAGCCCTGTATAACAAGAAGTCGGAGGCCTGCAATGATTATGATGTTTTTGTGGCCGAACAGAGGAGGGATTTTGTTCCCCCCAGCGGCGAGATATCAACGGAAGCCCAACTCCTTCAGCTCCGACAGGGGAGTCAGACTGTGGCCCAGTACACGTCCCGGTTCCGAACCACGGCTGCCAAACTGAAATGGGGGGATGAGGCCCTGAAGGCAGTCTACCTGGAGGGGCTCTCCCCGCGAATCCGAGATGGGATGATAGGGAGGGAGACCCCAGGGACCCTGGACGATGCGGCCGACCTCGCTCTTCAGATGGACCAGCGTCTTTTTACCCGTCGACCTGCTGAACTGCCTGTGGCGACGACCTCAGCGCCAGCCCGTCCTCGCCCAGTCAGTTTGTCCCCTGACGAACCCATGCAGCTGGGATACCTGAGCCCAGAGGAGAGAGAGAGAGGTGCTATAGGGAGGGGTTGTGCGCCTACTGTGGTGCTCCTGGCCATTGGCGTATCACCTGTCCCCTCCGGCCGGGAAACGCAGACTCCAAGTAGGCAGTAGCAGAGGGGTCCTACTTGGAGTAGCAGGAGCCCCCTCGACCCGCACCTTCCCCAGGGACCTGTCGAGCTGAAGGCGCTCCTGGACTCCGGAGCAGCCGACTGCTTCATGGACCAAGATCACGCCTCTCGACTTCGGGTTCCCCGTCCTCCCTCTGACAGACCATTACCGTCACCTCCGTGGAAGGAACCCCTATCAAACCCTATCCAATCCGCCAAGAGACGGTTGGTCTCCGCATGGACATACTTCCCACTCCGAGACTCTCCAATTCCTTGTTGTGACAGCTCCTTTGTCCCCCCTGATCCTGGGTCACTCCTGGTTCCTGCGCCATAATCCCCAGATCTCCTGGTCGTCTGGCCGAGTGCTTACCTGGGGTGCTGCCTGCCATTCTCATCGAACTCCTCAACCTGATTCAGAGCCTGGCCACCCAGTTCCTGAGGATGTTGATAAATCACAGTTCCCCTCCTGTTATCATGACCTGGCTCAGGTTTTTTCAAAGAGCCCTACCACTGTCTTGCCTCCTCACCACCCTTATGACCTGGAGATAAAACTCCTGCCCGGTTCTGTTCCACCACGGGGCCACTTGTACTCCCTGTCCCCAACAGAGACTCTGGCCATGGATGACTATATCGCCGACGTTCTTCAGCATGGGTTCATCCGCCCTTCCACCTCGCCAGGAGCCGCGGGTTTCTTCTTCGTGAAGAAGAAGGAGGGGGGTCTTCGACCCTGCATTGACTATCGGGGTTTAAATAAGATCACGATCCGAGATCGTCACCCCTTGCCTTTGATGACTACCGCCTTGGACGTAGTGTCCCAGTCCACCAACTTCACCAAGTTGGACCTGCGCAGTGCTTACAATCTAGTCAGGATAAAGCAAGGCGACGAGTGGAAGACCACCTTTATTACCCCGGCAGGCCACTGGGAATACCTAGTGATGCCTTTTGGCTTGTGAAACAGCCCTGCAGTTTTCCAACGCCTGATCATGGACGTCCTGAGGGACATGTTGGGCAGATGGGTTTTTATTTACCTCGACGACATATTGATTTATTCCCGAACCCTAGAGGAACACTTCACACACGTCCGAGCAGTCCTTTCCCGGCTGTTGGAGAACTGGCTCTACTGCAAGTTAGAGAAATGTGCTTTTCATCAGGAGACCATTTCCTTCCTGAGGTTCACTGTCTCGTCTCAGGGGTTCTCAATGGACCCCCAGAAAGTCCAGGCTGTGGCCCAATGGCCGATACCCACTTCCCTGAAGCAGCTTCAGAGCTTCCTGGGCTTCTCGAATTTCTATCACCGCTTCATACGCGGTTTCAGTTCCATCGCGGCTCCTCTCACTGCCCTAACCAGAACGTCAAACCAGACAAGCCCATTCCGTCTAACACCTGAGGCCACACAGGCATCTCCACACCCTGGTCTACCGCTTCACCACTGCCCCCATCCTCGTACATCCGGATCCAACAAGGCCTTTTGTAGTAGAGGTGGGCGCTTCTGAGGTGGGGCAGGGGCGGTCCTGTCTCAACGCGGTCCTGACTCCAAGCTTCATCCCTGTGCCTACTTCCCCTGTAAATTATCTCCAACCCAAAGTAATTACGGGGTAGGTGACAGGGAACTCCTGGCCATTAAATGGGCCTTGGAGGAATGGCGGCAGTGGTTGCTGGGTACATCGGACCCATTTACCATTTGGACGGACCACCAGAACCTCGTCCACATCCAGAACGCTTGGCAACTCAATCCCTGTCAGGCCCGCTGGGCACTGTTATTAGAATAATTTCACTTCCACCTGGCCTACCGCCCTGGTTCAAAGAATCTGAAGGCTGACACCCTTTCCCGCCGTTACATCCAATCTGCACCCGTAAGGGAACCGCCACCCATTCTCCCAGCCCAGAAGTTCATCGCAGCTCTCCACTGGCCAGTAGAGGACGCCATCTGGGCTGCTTTGCCCACCGATCCCGCACCTGCCGATGCGCCCTCCGCCCGGCTTTATGTGCCTTCCACCTGCCGCTCTGAGGCCCTGGCCTGGGGGCATGCATCCCGCCTGGCTGGACACCAAGGGGAGACCCGAACCCTCCAGTTCCTGCGACGTGCGCTATGGTGGCCTTCTATGGCCAAAGATGTCAAAGAATATGTAGCCGCCTGTTCCACTTGCGCCCGCTCCAAGACCCCAAACCAACCCCCGACTGGAGCTCTGCAACCTCTCCCAATTCCACACCAACCCTGGTCCCACATCGGCCTAGACTTTGTCACGGGTTTACCTCCTGTCAACCAGCTCAAGACCATCCTAACCATCGTGGACAGGTTCTCGAAGGCGGTCCACCTAGTGGCTCTTTCTGGCCTGCCCACAGCCAAGCAGCTGGCCGAAATCCTCCTGGAGCAGGTGGTGCGCCTCCATGGGTTCCCCCAGGACATTGTCTCAGATCAGGGACCCCAGTTTATGTCCAGATTCTGGAAGGCTTTCTGTCGGCTGGTTGGTGCCAGTAGTAGTCTCTCCTCTGGTTACCACCCCCAAACCAATGGGCAGACTGAGCGTGCAAACCAGCAACTTGGTCGGTACCTCTACTGCTTTGCCTCGTCCCAACCAACCACTTGGCCCAAATACCTCTTGTGGGCGGAGATGTCCCACAATCTCCATGTCTCCTCGGCCACTGGTCTCTCCCCAATCGAGTTGTGTAATAGATACCAGCCCCCTCTCTTCCACCACCAGGAACCTGAGACTGAGGTCCCTGCTGCCCAGACCCTGGTCTGGCGCTGCCGCCTCGCCTGGGTCCGTGCTCGGGCAGCCATCCAGCGAGCTAACACTGAATACACTCGCCAGCACAAGCGCTGCCATCGGACGGGGCCGACTTTCCAACCTGGGACAGGGTATGGGTGCCTACCCGGAACATGCGCCTACCCGCTGGCTCCTGGAAGCTCACTGCACAATTTTTGGGGCCCTGCCCTGTGGAGAGGGTCATTAACCCGGTGGCGTACCGTATCTGCCTGCCCAGGCCTCTCAAAGTACATCCCATATTCCATGTGTCCCAGCTGAGACCAGTATGGACTTCTCCCCTCGCTCCTCCGCCGGATCCCGAGCCTCCGCCTAGAGGGGTTGGCGAGGATGGGATTTTCACTGTGCGGCGCCTGCTGGACGCCCGTCACCATGGCAGAGGTTGGCAGTACCTGGTGGACTGGGCAGATTACGGTTCAGAGGAATGCTCCTGGGAACTGACGAGTGCAATCATGGACCCCTCGCTCATCTTGGATGTCTGGGCCCGCCGCCCTGGGACTTCTGGAGCCGTCCCTCAGGTGGGGGGTCCTGTCACACTGCCTCCTTCACAACCCTCGACATCCTCCCCCGGAGGATCCCACACTCACTCAGACCAACCGAACTCCACTATCCAGCATTCCCAGCAGCAGTCTTCCGCCCGTCACCCGCCACATCTACATAAGGAAGTACAGCTCAACGCCAAACCATTCAGTCATCGTTCTAACCAAACTGTGCTCCGAGTTCTGACCAGATCCAACCCGATCACTCAGCCTGTCCTGACCAGATCAGCCCGAGCTACTCGTCCTGCAGACTCAAAGTAATTCAGCTTTTTACCTTTTGGAGCCGCCGTGCTCTCCAGTTATTGTACGGTTTGACTCCTAGAACAAACCGCATGTCAATCTGCCCGGCGTCAGTCACTCCGCGCTTGGGTCTAAAAACACGCTACATTCCGAACTCTCGCTCCGGTCCAGCTCAGCTCGAGTCAGGCCTTACAGGACACACCTGAACTAAAGGCTTGACTGTGTACAGTTTAAAGCCTGATTTATGCTTCTCCGTCTGCGTCAGTGCGGAGACACGCAATACCATTATCCGTCCTTGAGTAGGGCACGCAAGTACGTACAGAGTCGAGCCCACTTTTTTAAACATCCGTCGAACGAGAGGAATTACGCAAGCTTGTGATTGGTCAGGACGCCGCTGTTGTTTACACCGCCACCATTGCAAAGAGAGCCGAGGATAACTAGCGACAGACACGGAGAAGCTTGAAGAATACCTCGCGAAAAAACTCTAAAAATATGAACGTTTAATCCTCCCGTGACTGGAGGAGTGAAAAGATGCGCAGCAAGCGTTTTATTTGTGGACGGAAATGACAGGAAACGTGGGTTTAGAGGTGGGGAGCGCATGAAGAGGGGGAGAATGAGAGACAAATTTGTCCGTGTTAAAAGTCTCTTATATACACAAAAAAACACAATATAAACACACTATCTTGGACCGATACATGACATGATACCACAGGACAGAGCTAAGCCCTCTGTTGTCCTGCCGGGCAATTGCTTTGCAAAACTCCCCAGGAGACGGAGAAGTATGAGAGCAAAACGCTTCAGTCAATCCGTGCGTGTCTGTCCCTTGCGGAGCTGACGGAGAAGCATAAACCAGGCTTAAAGAGCAAGTAACGTCTAAATTAACTTTTTTTTGCTGATGAACTGTATAAATGAGTGTCTAATAGTGTTTTAAATGTGTGCATTCTTTATTTTAGCATTTTGGTGCATTTTCTTTAAAAATTAAAAATTCTGTCTAAAAACCACAGTAATGCGCCACCTTCAGCTGAAAACATAGAATTTGAGTCATTTTGAATAAATTTTAGCCAATGGCTAAAGAGTAAAGTACTACGTAAACCAGTAGAGTACTACGTAGCAGCTCCGTGCCAAAGTTATAAAAGCAACGAGCGTCTCGGCCACGCCCTGTGGCGAGTGGGAGTTGGATTTGCAAGCGAGTGTAGGAGGTCAGCAGTAGTTCAGCATTAGCATATAGCATTAGCATATCCTAGTCTTTAGCATATCTTTTAGTGTTATAAATACTTATTTAGTGTTAGCTTGGCTGTTGTATATTGTAGTTTAGTTAGTGTTTGGCTGTTAGTGTAATTGGGAAAGTATTTCGGGTTTAGTGTTCCATATCGTCTTAGTATTGGTGAGTAGGTGTAGTGTAGTATGGTTGCGGTGACTCTGTGGGCATTTTACCCGCGATTCTGCACGCCTCCGTTTGAAGAGGGAGGCTGCCCACCGTGGCTCTTCCGCGATTTAGATGCAGCCCACCGACTCTGCTCCCCCACCACGGCGGGCTCCAGTCTGAGGTGAGTCAGCTAAATAAACGTTTTAACATCTTCTAAAGACAATTCCCTACCTAAATGCAAAGTCTGAGAGACGTGGTTCACTTCCTTTAGCTAGTCAGTCGGCAATTCTGCAACAGTGTCTCTAACTAACGCAGCACTAGTTGACAGCATTACAGCGTGAAATCCAGCTTGTGACCCGGTTCTGTGAGGAATTCTGTTCAGGAGGTCGCATTTCAGGCTCTCCACATCATATGTGACTGACTTTTACGTTATAACAACGATCACACACTAGGAATGTTATAAAGCGCCTATATAGGAGATTCTTTTGTATATTATCTGACTTTATAAACTCCCAACAACAATGTGCTTCTATTTTTTTTTTCAGGCTAAATCTACCCAAGACACTGGCTGTCAGACTGATTTAGCTGCAAGAATGCACTTGTCCAGGCTGACGTGAAGTCTTACCTGTAGCAAAGGTGAATTATTTTTAATAATCTTCTATGTAAACATTTTATTATTACCGTCTAGTTTTAATTTGTTTTACAGATTATTTTTACACGTGATTTTATGCTCTTTTAAACATTTATAAATGTGCTGCTTCTTTGTTTTTACATAGCCAGCCAGAATGGAGTTCACAGCCGCAGTGTGTCTGGTGACCCACAGGGACCATGATGAAAATTCATCTTCCAGAAGGTCCCAGAGCGTCCAGACCCCCTGAAAAGACCAAGATGTAAGGTGTCTGCTGTTGATTCCAGCTTCCACCTCAGTGACAGTGCAAGCTCAGTGAACTGTTCAAGGTAAAAAAAAAAAAAAAAATTAAAACATTTCAGAATTTTTAAGATATTAACAATTAAATAAGTATGTGATTACATCATGAAGGAGGCTACTGATTCTGCCCTGTGACACTTGGTGGTGACGTGTGAGCTGATTCTCCTGGAAAATAACTTTTACATTAAATATTTTGTTTTTGCTATCAAAAGTAAAGTAACTAATAACCTGCATTATTGCAGGACATTCAGCAAAATATGGACTCTACACCATGAGGCATGCACACATTAATATTCTATAAGAGCACATAAGGTGAGCAACACCACATATTGTACACTGTCCTGAATTTGTTTTCTTTCTGCATCTCATTAGCCTGGCTGATCACCTGATAACTCCTGTCATCTGGTTATGACAGCATGAGGATGTCCTCACACACCTGTAACCTATCAGATCATCTGGCAGAATAGAGAGAGAAGAGACAACACCACATCTCCTGTTCCTGGAAAGCCTTCAGCCATCCTTCGATGACTGAGAACCTCCATCAGCTCTGTCTCCTGTCTGCCTACAATTATTATAATAAATATTGTGTTTGACAAGTTTTTTGTGCTGCCAAATATCTCATTTAGATTCCAGTTTTGATATTTTAATGGATATTTATAAATTACATTGAATATCACATTTTTGTTGCATGTTTAACTAGCTCTATTGTAATTAAACTGGCACCTCACTGTTAAAAGCTCGTTCTAATTTCAAGCATGTTTAAGTATTTATGGACATGAACAAAAACAGGAAATGTATATATTGAGATTTATTTAATTAATATAACAAATAAGGGGGAAAGAGTCATCGAAAGGCACATTCTTCTGGAAGTTCCTGATCCTGAGGACACCAGCAGAGACCAGCTGCAGACACCAGAGGACCTAGAACCGAGAGAGCAGCTGTTATTAGTAAATAAATAAAGAAATCAGGGCAGTTTTAGTGGGCTGAACACATTACAGAATGATTTTCTCATGGGGTATTTTCATAACTTTATATGCAGCAGACTGTAACTTGAGCCCAGGGCTACCGGAGAGCTATCCAGCATGTTTCAGTGGATTTTCCTGCTTTAACAGGTTAGATTAGCTGTTAAGCAGCTCAGCTATTTGTTGCTGATTAAAACCAGGTGTGCTGAAGCAGATAAACCTCTAAAACATGCTGAATACTAGCTTTTTAGGGCCGTGGAGACAAACCCTGCAGCTAATCCAATGCTATGGCTAACGGCTACTTACCTTTCAGAGGTGATTCTGTTGGGTCGGTTCTGGGAGTTTCAGGCAACTCACAAGCTCAAAACAATAAGACTCAGGTCCGCTTGTCTCCTCCAAATAGACTTGGTCCCTTTCTTCTCGAGTGTCTGTGTAAGGAGGGGGAGAAACGTCCTCCACTTCTATCAACTGCTCAGAGTGAAGGGAGCTAGCTTCGTCTAGTTAGCCATCGTCTTCGTCACTGCCGCGGCTCCGCCCTCTCGGTCCTCCAGGCAACGCCTACTAATGTTGCATTTTTTAAAATTGATACGTGGGTGGAGAAGGACTCCGAGGCTCAATTGACCCGCTCTTTAAGTGTAACATTAGTGAAAGAAAATGTGACTTGTGATTATTGTATTTCAGACATCTGAGAGTGACCAACAGTAAAGCTGTTATTCCTGTTGTTATTAATTTTCATGCTCCAACACACCCGATTCTATCATTCACCGACCTGTTATGCATGTACACAGGTTCTGTAGAAGACTGTTGACTACCTGTTGACTCAGATCAGGTGTATCCTGGCAAGCAATCCTATAAGTGTAAAGTGTTGTCTGAGCACGGCCCATAGACAAAGCTCATTTGTAGGGCTGAATCTACAGCGGTCTTTCAGACTGTCTCTACAGCAACGGGACAGTGCAAGGACCAATCAGAGCAACAAACAGCATGCCATATTCATCACGATCTCAGTCAGCCAACAGGGCTCTCTGCTGTACACCTTCAAAGAAGAAGAAGAAAATACTTATTTTTTTCTAAATAAATTACTTAAGTTCCTCTATCTGCTCATGTCTCAAAGAAAAGCCCAACTCTAAATCTTCCAGAGTTGATGCCAAACCCGTTTCAAACGAGCGCCATTCCTGCGCCGACAGAGTCTTTGTTCTTTGTTTCCACTGCAGCTCTGATCTAAACTCGCCTAGTGTCTACAAACTTATGGCATTGTACACTATGGTGAGCTTGGCTTGACCCGGGTGGGCACAGCCTGCCCCATGCAGCTGGTTGTGTTCAGATTGCCTCAGGAATGCAAACACATGGGCAAGCTCTGCTTAGCAAAGTGGTGAAGAGAAGTCTGTGGTGTCGTAGATGGATGGGATAAGATGGTGAAAAACAATGGAGGATGTAGAGGTCATTCTTGGTACTCGGACTGTGGCTCTCTCTGAAGAAGAACCTTCATACAAGACACACGAGAAGGTGTCACCAAGCAAGGATTAAGGCCCAGAAAAGGAGGAATCCTGCAGGAAGCCATTTGGTAACATGAAGAAACATTACGCATCAGGGTAAGAGCTTGCTATTCAACATTGGCATATATATAGCTGCAGAGGCATCAGCCAGCCCGTCAGTCCACAGGTGGGTGTGTACCATCAAATGAACCACACGGAAGCCAGACTGAAAAAGTGGTTGGCTCCACATGGACAAAACACGAGCACGCAGGTAATTCTTTTCTGTACTTTCTAGTTTAGTAGTTTGTAGGTTTTAAATCAATTATATTTGTTACCAATGGATTGGTTTTCTTAATGAGAGAAAAAAAATTGTAGTATTTCCCTATGGTACATCATTCCTCTAACTTACTGCTAATCAGTTCTACAACAAAAAATATTGTTTTTCTTCTAGGAAACAGAACCAGACTCCATATGGTGGGAGGGTAACTCTGAAGTGCCTTTTTTGCCTCCACCTGAACCAATCCTCGTGTAAACCCTCTTATCTCTATTAAGGTAGCGCGACTCAGGGTTGCGAATGACCACAGTCACCAATTCTTGTCATGTGTCTTGCCCATATATGTCTGATCTCTGAATTATGTGTACTGAAACTCTAATTTCCCTCTGGGATTAATAAAGTATCTTTGATTGATTGATGATTGATTGATTGATTGATTGATTGATTGATTGATTGATTGATTGATTGATTGATTGATTGATTGATTGATTGATTGACTGATTGATATCAGATCTTAAACAACCAGACAGAACTATCATAATAATGAATATCACACTTTGGGTTTGAAGCAAACAGAAAAGATTTGGATTGTTTAAACAGCAGCAACAGCTTGAAAATAAGGTAAAATTTATTTATTTGAGCGAGAAAATGTACCTCTTCTAGCTGGCAGGCCTTGATTATTGAGGTGTAGCGGTACTCGTCAAAGGTGAGCCCAAACAGGATGTTATCACGGATGGTACCCGGCATGATCCAAGAGGTTTGTGGTGAGTAGGAAATCCGACCGCTGTGTCTGATTTGACCTTCTGATGGGGCCAATTCTCCCAGGATCATCATGAGCAGAGAACTCTGAAGACAACAGAAACACGTGAACAGACATGTTCTCACCCACTAGCATGTAGCCTTTTTATCAAAAACCTTCTTGTGATATTTATAACACATTTATTTTGGGCTTACCTTCCCTGAGCCTGTAGATCCAGACACTGCAAGCATCGTGCCTTTGTCCAAACACAGGCTGATGTTTCTGAGGACAGGTGTGATGTACAAGTTGGTGAAGAAGAGCCCGTCATCACTGCTCTGGTGTCCGTTTGTTTTATTCTCCTCCTTTATTCTCTCAAAGAGCTCACCAATGCCCTGGAGAGGGTCAGAAAAGATTGACTGAAGAATGAAAAACAAACAAAATGCAAAATAATCTAAGCAGAGACAAAAATCTGTATTAAATATAAAGTGTAGAAGAGGGGAGGGAGAACTAAGGTGAAAATAAATGTTGAACTTGCAGCCACAGACTCACCATGGTAACCACACACCTGTCTCTCTCACTCTGATAGCAAACGTAATGACAGGCAGACAGAAACAAAGAATAAAATGTAAAGTTCAGAAAAACAATTTTCTTTATTTACAAGAGAGAGAAGACTCTAGTGGTCACATTTCTGAATTGTTTTATTTCCACAAACTTGTATGTAGGAGATGCAGAGGGGGGTAGTAACGTGTCATATTGAGTCCGTTACATTTGCTTGAGTTAATTTTTGAAAAAAATCTACTCCAGAAGTATTGTTTCTGCATCATACTTTTGACTTTTACTTGAGTATATTTTTGAAGAAGGACTTTTACTTTTACTCTGCTATATTTGACACATTTTGATTTGTTACTTAAAAAAATTATTTCATATAATAAATAACAACAGATCACTCCGTGAGTGGATCTACCTGTTGCTCAATCACCAGTCAGATGTTGCCACGCAGTCACATGGCCACCAGATGTAAACATTGCAGTGGGAGAGCACGTACAACAGCTTTTAACCCTTTGATGCATAATAGTCACTAAAGTGGACAGGTACTCAAAATTGTTATTTATTTGTTTTTGCTATTAAGCACAGCTGTTGAAGACTTTATTGCATGTGAGCCCCTCCGTTTGGACTTCAGTAAGCCCAGCCAACATATTTCATGTTCAGAATGCACGCTGTCCACTGAGATGGACATGTAATAAATTATTTGTAAATTATAAAATTTAACAAAAAATATTTGTTGAAATTTGTTTCATTCACACCTAAAGATGAATGAAAAAAAATTGTTAAAAAAATCATGGTTGAAGATTTCATAATTCATGCATCAAAGGGTTAAGAACAACAGACAGGTTAAACGACAGGTCTTGTGATTTAGAAGGGACTATTCAGAAGTGTTAGAGAGAGAGAGAGAGAGAGAGAGAGAGAGAGAGAGAGAGAGAGAGAGAGAGAGAGTGTGTGTGTGTGTGTGTGTGTGTGTGTGTGTGTGTGTGTGTGTGTGTGTGTGTGTGTGTGTGTGTGTGTGTGTGTGTGTGTGTGTGTGTGTGTGTGTGTGTGTTATAAAGGCTGCAACAAACGTCTGTGAGAAGTGAAAGATGGAGGAGGGCTCTGAAAGTCTCAGCCTTATTGAGCTCATCTGTGGCCACCTCTGTACTGATAAAAGGGTGATGCAGGACGCTGCTGGAAAAGAGGAACCCTGGATGGGTCAGGGTTCCTGTGGCGTCAGGGTTGGCTCTGACTGTTTGTCGTCATTAGCGCTGACGTCCAAGCGTTTATAGCAGTAAGCAAAGACAAAAGGCCCCCCTCTGCATTTGTGTACAAATGGCACCTTTCAGGAAGAGAAGGAGGCTCCGTTTGGGAACTGGCTGAGTTTCACAGGGGTGTTCAGACTGGTGACAACACCGAGTTAATTAATTATGCAACCAAGGGGGGCCATACACTGGTGGATGTTAATTTTCTCACGGTATTGGGTGGTGCATGAATCCCACCTGTTAGACAAGGCTTACAGCCTATAGATAAGTAATTAGCATCCCCAGGCCAGTGATAATGAGGAATTAACCATTAAACCAGTTACTGCTCAGTGGATTCAAGGATTTACCTTTTAATTATTTAGCACTATTTCAATTTTAAGGTAGAAAACAGATCCAGCTAAATATACTGCAGCATCAGCCCTGATATTTACCACTCATCTTTTCTTTAGATTTGGCTTCCAGTGAGACAGACTAGGAGTCTTTTATCTGTTCTACTGGTTTCTTTGGACGTTGTCACCTTTTTCACTACGTTTCTGCCGAACTACAAACGGTGGATCTATATGTTCTAAAACCAAAAAAGTTGTGGAAACATAGAACAAAGGAACAAATGAACAACTTCTGAAAGTGGTTTAACTAAAGTCATTCAGCAAAGACCCTTGAGAAACCACCCTTGGCAGGGTTTCAGCTAGCTCTTTGGGGTTAAAACACCACAACCAGGAATGTGATTAAAACTTCTTACATGTGAAGCAGCTCAGCTAAGATCCCAATGAGCCATGAGTTTTTGCAATGTGGTAAAAGACATTTTCTACTTCACTGTTTATAACTGGAAACGACCATAAGTGCTGAGCATAAACCGAAGGGAATAATTGAACAAAGAGAAATTAAATGCCACCAGGTTATAAAACTACTGTGCACTCATTTAACACCTAAACACCTAACAGCAGGTCCATTCAACAAGTCTGGTATTCAGGTTTGACATGTAGACAACAAACCTCATCCCAGGATGCAGACACGTTGATCAGCTCCAGTCCCACCGTGGTCAGGTTGTAATCCAGAACACTGTATTCTTCCTTCAGCAAGAAATCCTAAACAATGTGGTGTAAATGATCATATCTGTATTCTGATTTGGGCCTCAAATGATCATAAAAACATCATAACTAACTAAAAACAGATATCAACCATCTAGAGCTGGCCAGCCAGCATGTATTAGTCCTTATGTCTTATTTTTGTACTGACCCCAGGTTCGTTTAGCAGCATCTTCTCTGCTTTTGTAGCAACATTTTCTCTCTCGCTCTGTTTTAATAATGTGGTGAATCAGGCATAGCAGACTCGTTTAATTATTTAGTGTTCGATGAGTTTGAACGATATCTCTTCAGTTTCTACCTTAAATAGGACTGGTAACATTTTTACAACTGGTTTTACATCTGCCTAGGTCACATGGACATTCATGTAAACATGAAAAACATTGACTAATTTAATCTGCCGTTTGCTCTCCAACTAGGGCCGAACGATTTTGGAAGATAATCTAATTGCGATTTAATTCACAATTATTTTCTTAAGGGGCTTTTCTCATTTTTCAACTAACGGAAGCAAAAAATAAAAATAAAGATCTATGTAACTTGAACTGAATATAGACAAGTTTATGTATCTACATATATTAACAAGTATTTTTGTCTACACATACATGAACACTCACAAATAAAGACAACATCTTGTATTTGAAGGTGCAATGCTTTGCAGCCAGGAGCACATCCCTTGAAGGAGAATAGGTATTAGTATCAACTGTGAAAATTTATTTGCAGGAAAGAAGTTTGTCCCTTTTATTGGTCTTTTGTGTTTAGAGTTTTTGATGTCTTGTCCATGCAGAGCTTCCGTAGTTCAGTTACGTTCACAGCTGCTAGCCAAAACTCAGTGGAGTTGAAGTACAGTTTTCTAGCTTTACTAAAATATCTGTCTGTACTTATTTGATTAATGGCAGTTTTAAATTTTTATTAGACTCCAAATGTAATAATTTGGCACGTTCCTAATTAGTAATTTGTAAGAATCTATTTGGCGATATTAGCATTAGCATCCCTTTGGGTTTTTCAATGTATATTAGCATTGTGCTAACCACTCGCTGCCAGTCAAATCGCAGCCTTTGCGATTAGAAAATCTCCTTTAGTCACATCGCAATTTAATTGCAAATGCAATTAATCGTTCAGCCCTATTTCCAACCCCTCTCAAAGGTGACTTTCTGGTGCATCAGAACTCATGTGAGAAGGGTTTCAGATGCCCACCAGTCTGAATATTTAAAGGGACTTTACGGAGTTTTGAACGTTTATGCTCACGATTGCCCCCTCAGGCCAAAAGCGTAACGACAGCTTAAATAGTAGGCTCGTGCACGAGGCGCGCATGCTGTACGTGCACACTCCTTAACGGAAATAACAGCGGAGACAGTCCCGTGTGTGTGTGTGTGTTAGTGGCCCGGAGGACAGAGGACAGGAGAACGCGCATCTAATTAATTAAATAATTTGGTTCTGTACCTTTCTCTTCAGCACAGCCGACAAAGGTTTATGATGGGTCAGTCCTCCGGCAAGCTCTGATCATTCCCTGCCCTTGCTTGAAAAATTGTTCCAAAATGAAAGTTGAACCCACATCTTTTTTATCTGTGAATTCACTGTCGTTCGGCGAGTCTCAAATAAAAATTTGGGCATCTTACTGTAAAAAAATATACCATTAATGTAAAAAATAAACTCTAACAAAACCATATTCACTGAGAGAATCAGACCTGGGTCTTTTGCACAGGAGTCTGTCATCTTACTAAGTGAGCTAAATCACCAGTAACATATTTTGTATCTGTAATATTTATATCCTTGATGACAGCTGCAACAACGTTCAAAGAATGGTTCGGAGCGAAAATGGCTATTTTGTTGCTAATGTGCAGGAAATATCTAGAAGAAAGTAGCTAAGGGTCCTCAGAAATGTAGCTAGGTTCATCACTAGGCATTAGGAACAGCGACAAAGTCGCTGAGTTGGCACTACCTCTCTCTCTGCTGCTAAAGCTACGGATAGCAAATGCTACGGGCGATGCCTGTGCGTGAACGTGCATGAAGCAGCCTGCTTGACCCGAGCAGCTCTCTTTTTCTGTGATTTTACAGAAAAACAGGCAATCACAGTAAAAACGCCAGGGCTCATTCTACAGGACCAGGGCATTGCAGGAGAATGTATGAAGAAGAAATTTATTATTTCTATACATGTTTTGGCTGTCAAACTTCCATAATGTCCCTTTAAGAAGAAATTCCCATGAGCCAATAGAAAACCTTTTCAGACATTTTGGAAATGCTGTGCCTCATCATTTCCCACCACATATTCACAGTCCAGTGAGATGGTGGCTTAAGAGAAGCCAAATTGTGAAGAATTCGGTAAAATTTCACTCACATCCAAACAAACTGATCTGATCTCTAATGAATCCACCTACCTCAATCTTCTTGACTAACGCCAACGTGTCGTACCACATCTGGATGGAGCCTGGCAGCTGGCGGGTAAGTGTCATGCGTAGGACGATGCAGTAAGACGCTGTGGTGAAAATGCGACGCAGAATGATACCTTGAGTAAGTGCATACGGCACAATGGCTGAGAGGATCACCAAGATGGCGGAGAAGAAGTATGAGGCACTGTAGAAATACCGCAGAGACCCAATCTTTCTGGTGAGAGTCATTTCCTCCCTGAAGGAGAGAAGCAAGCAATTAAATACAACAGGCTGTTTTTATCTGTTAAGAGACAGAACATCAAGAATGGTTAGAGCCATTTAAGCCAAAACTGCCTCTATGAATGACTTTCTCCTGACATTCTGTCATTGCATCAAATGCAAAACATAACATTAAACATAAATTTAACATTGGCTCTTGTGTCACTACTGCTGTTAAAAAGGCCCTCTGCTCTAATACCTGACTTTAAAATGCCAAGATGCTTCCTTAAAGTGACAATGTGTTTTTCCTGGTGATAGGGGGCAGTAGATACCTAAATGGTTGCAAGCAAGCTGCATTTTTGTGTTGGAGTAAGACCTAAGCAACGGATGCCCATTAGGGTAAAAAGGCCAGGGGAGTGCAAACTTCAGCAAAATAACAAGCACATCAGACTCCCTTTCATCAATGGCGACTAGTGAAGAGGTAACTGTGTAAAACAACAATGTTTAATAATGGTGAGAGTTTCGTAACCATTTGCTATGAATCAGTAAATGTATTTTGTCCTCAAGGGCTCCTGTAGAAGGAAACATGGCATCTAACATGGCGTCGCCCAGAGACTTAGGGTGCTTCTCAATGCCAAGGAGCCTCGCCTTGATGTCTTGGCCCCGCCCCGATTGCCTAGGAGATACGTCATCAGGAACCACCAAGGTATGTTCCAATGTTCATGTTCTACCGAGGCATCTGTTCCCCGTTTATTAACCGTTTAGCTAGCTGAGCAAGGATACACGGGAGATGTCTTGTAACCTTGCCTTGGTCAAAAATTACCCAGAAAACACCACAGTATTTTCAAAAGGATGGCGGATCAGAAGCTGGCAGCTACTTTGGGGGCAAATTTCAAATTTAAATGTCTAATTTTAGCTATCGGATGGTATCTAAAATGTTTTTTTATATCCAAAGAAGTTATCTATGTTTAGTTGCTTAGTAGTTGTAGCTTCGGTGGCTAGCAGGTAGTAACTCGCTTACATATTTAATTTGACCAATATATACACAACGTCATGTGATGTTATGTGACCGCCACGGAAGCCGAGGTCACGCGACGCAAGTCTTTTCCATTTAACCGTTTTCTTTGACCAAGGATGGAAAGGGTCCTCATGAGACACGACATTGCCTTACGGGTCAGGCACCTTGACATTGAAATACCCTTAGACCCGCTATCATTTAGACCAGATTTTTATGGTTATATGTTACGTAGCCGCAAAATTTTTCAACAACTGGGAATCATTTAATTGATTTTCAACAGCATTTTGATGGATATTTCCTGAGATTAATGATAAAAAATGCACATTGTCACTTTAATTACAGGTACCACTGTAATAGTGGGCATAGAAAATTCATAGATGAGTATAAATGCATTTTTTTCAGTAAAAAATATAATTGATGATTGCATAATGAATAAAAGTCGTGTGTGTGTGTGTGTGTGTGTGTGTGTGTGTGTGTGTGTGTGTGTGTGTGTGTGTGTGTGTGTGTGTGTGTGTGTGTGAGTGTGTGTGTGTGTGTGTGTGTGTGGTGGGGTCTTACTGCCTGATGTTCTTAATGATAGTTTCCATCACCTCCTCCCAGCCATACGCTTTCACAGAGTGAATATTCTCCACGATCTCAGAGGTGAGAGCCAGGCGGCGGCTGATCATCCCTGCTCGTTTCATCCTGTTCGGTTTCAAATGAACACAGGAACAATTTTTAAGACAAGAGACCATCAGGAACCAGATTTACTGATAACTCTGCTATGAGTCTGTTCAGTGGTCTGTGTGTCCTCACCGGTGAGGTGCCATCTTCATTGAGAGCCAGGCCTGGATGATGCCGAGCAGGGTCAGAGCTGCCAGGGCACATAAGCCGTTCACTTCGATCAGCTCCCAGATTAAACCGGTACACAGTATACACTGCAGAGGAGTGATCCAGATAAAATGTGCTAGACCCAGGCTCTGAAAGGAAACACTTTGAGTCATGGGAAGGGAAGAAGAAGAAGAAGAAAATATCATTTCTATAGCGCCTCTCAAGATAAAAATCACGAGGCGCTTCACAAAAACAAAAAATGTAAAAATATAAAAAATAATTTAGAGGGGTTTTCAGGATGATCAGGACAATCAGAAAGGTGAAAAAAGCCAACATAGAAGATAGGAGTTAGAGATTAGTCTTAATAAATACTTCACTCAGCGTATCTTACTGACAATAAAGTCAAGTCCTTCATCTTTGCTATTGATTCTGGAGTTTTACCCACCCACACTCTCATTCATCCACTGTATTTACACACAGATCTGTCAGTATTTAGTGTGTTGGAACAATTTTACACATTGTGTGGTATTCACCATCTTGGACTTGTGTTTGCAAATGTTCCTAAATACAAGAACAGCTCTGATGTGTACGAACTAGTGGTAGAACAGGGGAACCATGATACTGAAGGTCTCAGTCATCCAAGCGTCTTCCTCATCCACTAACTATTTTTACACAATAAAAAATTATGTCTGCTTTAATGCATAGCACGTGTCACTTATAAAAGACATCTGTGACCGATGGGAATCTGATTTTGTAGCATGGCGGATCTCAGAGCATACACTCTGAAGGGAATGCGTCCTCCGTGCACGCTCTAAACTCCCCTAAGGAGATCCTTCTGGAGCGATGCTGTGGTTTGGGACCCTTTGTGGAGCAACAGACAAACCACACAAATATCAGATCATGTTCAATTATTGACCAGAACCTCCTCCCTCTCTGGTCCCTGAACAAACATACGTGTTGCCAAGGTAACCAAACTGGCTAAAAGCTCAGCATGAAGACAACACAATTTTCCAAACAATAGCAAACCTAACTTCAAACAGAACATGCATACTTGAACGTAAACTGTAATCAGTCTGTCACTCTACGTTTACTCATATTCTGTTTAATGCAGAATCTTTCATTTTGTTTTTCTGACAGGACCCTCTACTCAGTCCCGACCTCTTCCAAGGTTCTCTTCCAGCCAGTGCCCCGATCTCGCTGTCAATTAAGTTTTTTTCTCTTCGAGAAGAATGCGGGGAATCTCCTCGTGTGCTGAGGACACGGTATGAAGGGCCTTTCTGTATGTAACGACTGAACAGGCATGAGCACCTGGGTACACACAGGTGGGATTTATCAACATTCGTTCAATGTAATTAAAAACAAAGTCATGCAAATTGCCATGACTCCCAGGCTGACACCCTCCTCTGCCTTTGCTGCCTCCTCAGTCAAGCCCTCAGCCACTTAATAACCTCAGCCTACACCTCATCAACTTCATTCATCTCACCTGTTCCTGTCATCAGCTCATCACACACACCTGCTCCCCCTGCTATATAACTCTCAGCCTGCTCTCCAACCAGTGCTAGATTACTGAACGCTCTTTACCAGTAGATCTTCCAGCCTTGCCTGATCACAGCCTCCGGCAGGAGCGGCGTTAGGCCCGGCTACTTGGGCTGAAGCCCCGGATGTTTTATGAAAACCCCGGATCTAAATCGTGGAAGTAACATGCCGTACCAAAGTCCAACAGAGAGGGAGCAGCTGGCAGTAGTTTGTATACAGCCTGCCTGAGCCTCCACCACTGAAGAAGAAGCCCTTCAGCAGCCGACTTCTTCTACACTCTCTGCCTGAAACGCATGAGTGAAGATGGACATAAGGATGTATTTTAGACCAAAAGTACAAGGACAGAACCCCAGCTTTCATGAGACTGGTGTTGACTCAGGTTTGTGAGTCTTATTTGAAAATATTTGTTGTGCTGCTGGTTTGCCTAGAGTTAGCTTATCAGGTAAAGTTGTTGGAGAAAGAAAGGGAATATTTACTATCATCTCACACTAAACACTAACAGGATCTATACTCTGCCCTGAATATGCTTAATATGTAGCTTCAGATTAAACATTATGTGGTACAAGACAAATATATATGATGTTGACGTGTGTGTGTGTTGTGTGTGTTGTGTGTGTGTGTTGTGTGTTGTGTGTTGTGTGTTGTGTGTGTGTTTGTTAAGCCCCGGATGTTCTTCAGTCCTTAATCCGCCCCTGGCCTCCGGACCTTGTTTTCACGCCTGACCCCTGCCTAGGACTCTGCCTGCCATCACGACCCTCGCCTGTCTTTGACCCCTTCTCCAGCCTGCTCTGTTACCTGCTTCGCCTCGTTCTGGATTTTGACCCACGCCTCCTCTCCAACTCTGTCTCCATTCTTGCCCTCCTTGGGTACGCCACATCTAATAAAGACTTTTAAAGGAGCTTTCCTGTGTTTGGCGTCATCATGGGTCCTCCAAGTTCTGGTCGTGGCACAAATGGGATTATTTTGGAAATCCTGCTTTACAAACATGTTTTTACTTTGCTATGCCTTCCAAACAAGCACACTTCAACCTCCTTTCCCCTTCTGAATCGGTTTTAAGTCTCTTTATACTTTTGGGTTCTTACTGCGATATTTTAAGTCAGTAAGGTCTTAGGACATCCTAGAACAAAGATATTTGAGAATGTTTTACCTTTATAGTTTTATTAGGTATTGCTGCCATTTTTGTTAAATAAGATAAATTCCACAGAAAATATGACAGACGGCATGCAAGGACACAACAAACTTTGGCGAAGAAGTGGGCCATGTTTTTCTCTAGTCAGATCTGTTCTGCTGACTCTCACCTGGATCCCAGATGCAACACTCAGCATTCACCCCAGTAAGCTCCCTTTCATCCACTCACCTGCAAGGCTCCACCTTCCACCCATCACAAACTAATCCCACCCCCTTTGTATGAGGAAACCACATCTGAGCCAAGTGATAATTGTCCCAGAGCAGGTAGCAGAGTGTTTCCACATTCATCGCTTCTGTGACACCCTGAGCAGCACAGTTTACATTCTACACACACGCCTGCATTCACTCCAGCTATGTTTGTTCCAACAACTGCACACCTAAGACATCCCTTACAACACCTAGTTGAATAGTTGGGTCCTTTTGTTTTCTTGCTACAGAAAAACACACCTGAGAATCAGGTAATAAAGATGAACATAGGTATGAGTGTGGAAACCTGCTGGCTATCTGAAAGCTGTCACATTCCAGTCAGCTTCATCTCACAGCTACTAAAGACCCAGAAGTTATTTCTGTTTCATATGTTAAGACTTTCATGTTTTCTGATTCTTTATTAAACAAAGGTGTGCTTTCTCTCACTTCATCAAACTTGTTGAGGTGGGCTGACATCAGGCTGACAAGCTGACCGGTGCTGATCTTGTCCAAGACTCGACTCGACAGCTTCAAGGTCTGAAAGGTTTAAATACCAGGATTCAGATCACGCACAGAGATAGGCAACGAAGAGCATGAGGGTAAAGTGATATGAGAGAGAGGCATTATGGGAATGTTTGGTCATGCATGTTAAACAAGCAGGAATGCATTTGATTAATGTTGCTTTCTCATACCTTCTTGTATATTAGACTGAACAGTGCGATGCGGACTTGCATGCCCAAGTGTTGCAGTCCAAAGATGGCAGGCTGCAGCAAGATGAAGCGAGCGGTTAGGAGGAGGCCAAGGCCCAGGGCTAAGTAGTAGCCCTGACTCCTCTCAGGAGCATGGAATGGATCAAAGGAAGCAATGATGCGACCTGAGAGCTGAGGCTGAACAGTCTTAGATGCTTCCTACAAACAGAGGAAGGGACAAGAGATTTATTACTATCTTTTATTATAAATATTCTGTTAAAAATGAACACACAGTGATGCAGGATACAAGGCATGTTTGCACCATTATATCTGAACCAGTGAAAACACAAAAACACACCTTTATGTTGAGGCAAAGCCTGCTTGCTACGGACGGCCGCACATCTGTTAGTCTAACACTAAATGTTTTTGGAAGTGGAGCTACTGGTGTTCATGTTACGGGTGAACAGAAGGCTCGTGCTGAGGTCAACTCCAGGGACCTTGTTGGGGCCGACAGTGGTGTCCAGACATTCAGAGAATGCTGCTTTTAACAGAGTTCTTCTTGTTATTGGCGTTTGCTGTTCACTATGAGAAGTTTCTGGTCCAAAGCCTGACCCATTCAGCTCATTCTCCATCCTAAATGTTCGGACCTTGTATTTGTTTGCCCTCCTGCCTCTAGAGGCCAATAGGATTACAGTTTGAGGGAGCTTCCTGGACCTGGATCCAACATCGTGATGTTCTGTTCCTGACACACTTGATTCAGATTTTATCCTTCTGGCTCCATCATCACCAAACCTTTGTTGGTTGGACGAGTTACTCTGAGAGGATGTTTAGGTACTGTTCTTTATTCATGGCCGTTATGAGGCTAAAGTGTGAGCAATTCCACAAGCATGCACCTTTCTGTCTCCAGAAGATCCTCTTTCCAGATGTCCAAACAATCAGACAGGGCAATCATCAGAGAAATTAACTTATCAGACTGACCCCTAGACCTTTAGCAAAAACTGAGTCTGTCCCTGAGGGTTTTCATGGATGTGACTTCCTTGCTGCCCTTCCTGGCATTGGGCCACCCTTAAAAACTCTTCTCCTCACCATGCTGCTGCTGATGGTGATCATGAAGATTTTGTGGACTTTTGTTTGGGATAATTTAACCTATCTTCTTGAAGCTGTTGATGATTAATACTAGCCTGACCTGCCAGACTCCTCCTCTGTTTAATTCTGCACAGAGACAGGGTCTGGGAACTCTCCTATTCAAATAACCCCACCCCCTGAGAATTCTAACCGAGCCAATCAGAGCTGAGTATCGTACATCGCACACCACAACGCTGAGTTTGTCATAAACATGGTGACTGGAGTGGAGTTCGCTGCAGCTCTTTCCTCTGTTCTAAATAACTCAGATGTCTTTAAAAGTACAACAAGCAGAAGTGCTAAAAGCATTTCTTCTAAAAAAAAAAAGATGTTTGCGCCGTTGCCAGACGCTATTTTTTTTTTTACTACAACTAGAAATCTACCACGTTGTGCGGTACAGTCGGAATTTCCGTCTTTTTTCTGATTGGTCATTTTTGAGCTTCCTAGTCCCGCCCCTCAAGTGCCTCTGCCTGTGAGTTACCAGACTCTCTCTGTGCAGAATTAAACAGAGGACGAGTCTGGCAGGCCGGGCTAGATCAATACATGGTCTCACCAGCAGTCTGACGAGGATTGTTTGTGCAAAGATCACTGATCTCTTTGCACAACCTTCAGGAGGTTTTTGCAAAATGCCATTATGAAAAGGTAGTCTAAAAACTTGGAGAAGTTAATATTTTAGTAATTCTCCAATGGTTCTGGTTGGATCCAGCCTATGGCTCTTGTCCACTATCATTCCATGGATTCTGTTCATTGGTTTAGGTGCACAAAATGAAACTTTCTGATACCCTGAAAGTAGTTACAGGTAAACATGAGCGGCATCCTCTGATGCTCAGAACTCAAGACTTTAAATACAATATAAAGATTGCCCAAACTGCTGTACATCAGCAAACAACAATCAAACAAAAACAGCAACAACACAATAAAGAGGAAAATTACATATAAATCAAGGTTAAGATTAATAAACAGGGAGAGTAAAAAAGTGTGTCTTTAAAAGAGATTTCAAACTACAAACAGAATTTGCGGTCAAAGTCTGCAAAAATAGCTTACACTATGCACAGTATCGGGGCGGCTATAGAAAATGCTCTGTCCCCCCTAGACTTTAGTCTTGACAGCGGAACTCTCAGGAGATGTTTAGATGAGGATCTCAAGGCCTTCGTGGGGCTGTGAACAATAAGAACCTCAGCCAAATAAGATGGCGCCAAAACATGTAAGTCTCTAAAACAAAATAATAACATTTTTTATTTTATTCTTATACAGGGAGCCAGTGGAGGGTTGACAGGACCGGAGTAAAATGCTCTCTGCATTTCCTCCTTGACAACAGACGAGCATTCTGTGCAACCTGTAGGTGATGGATGGAAGACTTGTCAAGACCATAATAGAGAGAGTTGCAGTAATCTAATCTAGAAATGATGAGCAAATGAATAACTCACTTGAACTCTTTCTTTGGCAAGTAGACTTTAAAGAGCAAGTCACCCCCAAATCAACCTTTATTTCTGATAAATTATATAAATGTGTGTCTAATCATGCTGCAGACATGTGTAGTCAAAAGTTTCGCACTTTAGTGCATTTTGTTAAAATTTTAATTTTCTGCCTAAAACTGTCAGTGTTGTGCCGTTGTTAGGTAAAAACTCTGCACTGCATTTGAATTTAAATCTGCCATCGCTATTGGCTAAGAGGTACCTTAAAATGTTAGCTGGTACCATATGATGTCACAATGTCGTTGTGAGCCTGTTTGTGTGTATTTGTTAGCGGCTCCGCCCTCTCAGTCTGCTAAGCTACAGCATTTGTTGCATTTTTCAAACAGGAAGTGGTAGTGGAGTAATACTCTGGTAGGGGGTGACTTGCTCTTTAACCTTTCTAAGCAATTTCAAATGAAAACAACACATTTTGAATAACACTACTAATTTGTTTCTCTAATTTAAAGAGCAAGTCATCCCCTGCCAGATTTTTACTCAACTCCCACTTCCTGTTTGAAAAATGCAACAAATGCTGTTGCTTAGCAGGCCGAGAGGGCGGAGCCACTAACAAATACACACACTCACAACATTGTGACATCATAATGTACTATCTAACATCATAGTGTACCTCTTAGCCAATAGCGATGGCAGATTTAAATTCAAATGCAGTGCTGAGTTTTTGCCTGATGACGGTGCATCGCTGACAGTTTTAGGCAGAATATTTAAATTTTAACTAAGATGCACTAAAGTGCCACATTATTGACTACATTTGTCTACAGCATAATCAGACACTCATTTATATAGTTTATCAGTAAAAAAAATGTTAATTTGGAGTGACTTGATCTTTGAAGCAGCCGTCAAAGAAAAAACCCAAATTTCTTGCGTATGAGACTCGAAAAGATTCCAATGGCCCAAACTCACTCCTCGCAGATTCCTGCATGCAGCAAGCTGGGATCTCCAAACAACTAATTCTGTCTTATTTTCTTTTAAGTTTAGCAGGTTATTTAGCAGCCATATTTTGATGTCTATAAGGCACAATAACAGTGTATCAAAGGATGGTCCTTGGGAGCTCAAAGGTACATAGATTTGTATGTCATCGCCAAAAAGCGGTACGAGATGGAGTGTTTTCCGAAAATTTCACCAAGGGGCCGCACACTGAAGGGGGGCAGAGGAGGAAGGGCATTCTTCCATATTTACAGAAAAGGACTGGCCACAAAGGTAAGATTTAAATCATTTTAAAGCCAAGCCCTGAATTCCAATGGTCTGTTCCAGGCATGACAATAAAATTTCATGATCCACTATATCAAATGCCACCATCAAATCCAATTGGACTAACAGGCATTCTTGCTGTCAAGGCAACCAGCTGTAAGGATGAGCCTAGGCTGCTGCCTGTTCTTCCCCAATGTTCCAGACAGATCTGGTTTGTGACACTTTGGTGTAAAATTCTTTATTGGAGCTCTCCTGATATGCTCTCCTGGAAAACAGCACACGCACACACTCTTCATATATATATATATATATATATATATATATATATATATATATATATATATATATATATATATATATATACATTATATATATATATATATACTTTTTTTTAGATTTGAAGTGTAAACTGGTTGAAGAAATGGCAATGATTGAGGATGGTGTCATAAAAATAGTAACTGTGGAAATGAGTAATTATAAAATAATAATAATAATAAATTTTTTGGTTAGTTGTGTTTAGAGAGCACCTGGTGACTGTGCTGAGACATTCACTGCTCATGTGTGGAGACTTTAATATGAATTTAGATCTTCCTGCTGGAAAGAAAAATAATTTTATTGATTCTATGTGCAGTTTAGGATTACTCCCCTTAATCTCTAAACCAACCAAGATCACATCACATAGTGCTATTATAAGTGATAATATATTCACAAACAAAAAGGATAATGTATTGAGTAGTGGGATTTTGATGACTGACATTAGTGATCATTTAGCTGTCTTTGCAGTATTTATATACAAACAATTGACAAAACAAAATATCACTTTAAAATACAAAAGAGATCAATCAGTTTAAGTCCTGGAAGCACTACATAAAGATAATAAAATGCAGAATTGGGAGGAAGTATATGTTAGTTACGTTAACACAGCGTATACATCCTTCATGAAAATACTGATGAAATCATGAAAATAACTGTAAATTAATCCAAATTACTGGTAAAAGGGTAAACCAACCATGGATGACTAAAGGAATAAGAAATGCCTGTGTAAAAAAATAAAAAATCAGCTGTATAGGAGTTTCTTAAAATGATAAACAAGGGTAACTGAAGATAGATACAAAAATATAAAAATTAATTAATAACAATAATTAGGAAACAAAAAAAGATTACTATGGAGAACTATTGAATAAGAATAAAGATATTACAATGGCTACATGGGGAATAATTAAAAGTGTGACAAATAGTGTGACAAATTAAAAATGTGACAAAATCTATTTCTCTCTGGGATTAATTAAGTATTTTTGAATTTAATTGAATTGAAATAGAGATAAAACTAAATCAAATATACCAAATTACTTTGTCAAGGACAAATAAAGACATGTATGATGTTAAAAAATCTCTAATGAATTCAATGATTTTTGTAAATGTAGGTAGAAGTTT